CTAGTGCTACAACTCTCCCTGCCCCAGCTGTCTAACTGGTGGAGAAAACACAAAGGAGCAGGAGGTACAGGGGCCCGAAGGCCTGCACGTCCTCTTGCTCTGAGCCCAGGAATTCCCAAGAAAAGAGGGGGAATCTTTGGCGGGCCTCTCCAGGCCAGTAACAGCCCTCCCTCAACTCACAAACTCACTGCCATCAAGTGAAAACTGACTCGAATCGACCCTACAGGACAGGGTACACCTGCTGCTCCTGTGAGCTTCCAAGCCTGGAACTGTTTACGGGAGTGGGAAGTCTGTCTCCCGCGGAGTGGCTGGTGGCTTTGAACCGCAGAGCTTGTGCATTGTAGCCTGATGCATCACCACTATGCCATCAGGGCCCCGTCTAGTCTAGTACCAGTTCTCAAACCAAACTCCCGGCCACGGTGTGGATGCCGACTCAGAGCAACCCTCCCCTGTGAGTTCTCGAGACAGCAACTGTTTGCAGGAGTAGAAAGCCACGTCTTTCTCCCAAGGAGCAGCTGGTGGTTTCGAACTGCTGGCCTTGCTGATCGCAGCCCCACAAGTAACCACTATGCCACCAGGGCTCCTAGAAATAAGTCCTAGGGTCCATTTGTGAGATGCCTGCAGTGCCTTTGGTCCTGCCAGCCTGGTGTCTGCTAGGCATCATTATCTGCTTTAATTGGTGAGAAACATCAGACACCGAAGAGGTGCATTTGCTATTAAATATTGATGGACAGTTATGATGTGCCATGCACAGTGGTTGGTGAGCATCATCCTGGCTAGCAGAAGGACAAGCAAATTGATCACAACAGCTCCTAATTGCCAGATGACAAAGAAGACAATTGCCTACAAAAGAACCACCCTCCCAAGTCAGCCTGGAAACAGCGTCTTAAACTCCCGCGGATCTTCCAGTTGACTCTGACTCACAGGCACCCTGTAGGATAGGGCAGGTCTCCCCCTGCGGGTGCCCGGGGCTGTCAATCTTTAGGGGAGCAGCAAACCTCATCTTGCTCCCCTGGAGCAGCTGGTGGGTTTGAACTTCCACTCTTCCAGTCAGCAGTCCAACATGTAACCCACTGCCATTGAACTGACTCCAGTTCACAGGCACGAGGGTATCTGAAGCTGTAAATCTTGACAGGGACAAATAGCTTCCTCTTTCTCCCACAGAGCAGCTAGTGGGTTTAAACCACTTACCTTGTGGTTAGCAAACAAAAAAACAATCAAGTCGTCGATGCTGACCCGTAGCAGTCCTATAGGACAGGGTAGAACTGTCCCTGTGGGCTTCCGAGACTAACTTTGTACAGAGTAGAAAAGCCCATCTTTCTCCTGAGGAGTGGCTGGTGGTTTCAAACTGCTGACCTTGCAGTTAGCAGCCCAACTCCTAAGCATTCTGTCACCACGGCTTGGTTCCATGTTTATCCCACTCTAACTCCAGGGCACCTTGCCTTAAGTACACATCAACCTTTTTCACTTTTCCCCGGGGTTTATTTTATTGTGGGACGGATCTCTCTGTAACCAGCTGTCTGTCTTTGCAACACCCCTCACAGTGACATTGTGTTGTTCCATCATCACCATTATCCGCTTCCAAACTCTCCCAGCACCCTTGACAGCTCAGTGTTCCCCCAAGCAGGGAGTGCCCCTGCCTTCCTGCCACCCCCCTCTGGTAATACATCAACCAGAAACTTAAGCTCACTCTCACCAACTGAATTCTGACTCGTGGTGACCCTCAGATGACAGAGTAGGACGACTCCCGTGGGTTTCTGAGACTGGAAATCTTGTCAGAAGTAGAAAGCCTCATCTTTGTCCCATAGAGTAGCTGGTGGTTTCGAACTGCTGACTTTGCTGTTAGCAGCCCAACTTATAAGCCACTAGGATTCCTGGTAATATCATGGTATTTTTTCAAAACAGCAATATTATCTCAAATTTATCTTTTATCAGGATATTTTGTTTTTTAATCATTTTATTAGGGGCTCATATAACTCTTATCACAATCCATACATAAATCACTTGTGTA